GGCCCAGGGCCTGGGGTCTGCCCGCTTCCTCTGGCCCGGGCGGTGAAGGCAGCCCCGTGACCGCTCACCCCCCTCAGGCCCGTTTTGGGGTACGAGACGTCCTAGAGTGTTGTGGTGCTGGAGGGTCCCCGGGCGGGTGTGAAGGATGGGGCAGGTTCTTGGTTGGCTGCAGGAAGGTGGAAATAAAATGCTGAAGGCGGCTGCGGTGGAGATCCCGCAGTGATCTCCTGGGAGGCGTTACCCTGCACTCACCCCACCTTGCTGGGTGGTGTTTCTCGTTTGTTTGTTAAAGCCTGCTGCTTTTCGGTTTTTATCTCTTCTTGGGAGGGGAGCGTGAGAGATAGGTCGGGTTAAGGACATACCAGCATCGGGGGGTAGGTGGGGAGAGGAGATTTTTGCTTGTTGGAATTCTGCAAATTAGGTGAGAGTTTTCTGATTGAGGTTGGAAGCCTCATTCACAGTTTCTGACACTGGGCAGAGCTCTGTTCTGTGCATGCGTTTGGATTGTCCTTCCAGTTCCACAGGACTGTGTAACTTGTTTTTGTGTTGGAAATAGCTTGGAGAAAAGAAAGACCCGTGTTTGTGTTGTCCAAGATGGAACCAAGCTTTTAATCCAGCCTTACCCTGCTTTGTTTTTAGCAGTTTGTCTTAAAAGGACTTTGGTCCACGTTGTAGGTCATCACTTTGTCACTCCTCTGTGATGAGGGATCTGATCTACAGAGAGTCCATCAGGGAGGTTTCTCTTGGGAAGCCTGAGATTTGGTGGTGTCAGGTCACCAAGGTCTGCCCTAGCAGTGTGTCAAACACAAGCATTTCCATGCTATATATAGCAAAGAATCTCTCCTTTTGAGGACTGACAAGCCTTACACCTTAGCCACTCCAGTAATGGGGGAATTTACAGCTTAATCCCTTCAGAGCTGCCATCAGATCTGAGATTTATGGTGGAAAGACTTGGTTTCCTCCTCCCAGACATTTGGGCTGTTCTTTCCAGCTCAGATCTGCTGGGTAAAGCCCAGCTGGCTGCAGGAAGAGATATCTGCTAAACTAACAACCTGCTCAGGAAGATAAGACTGGTGCTGCAGAGAAATCTGTTTGGAAAATGGTTTTTATTCACTCTCTTGTTTCTTCTGCCAGAGCCTCATCCACACAGTATTAGTAATTAAATCCCTGAGATGTTATAACAATGACAGTAGTTGCTAGAACCTTCTGAGCTTCCTTAGAGAGGAGAGGGACTCAAACTCAGGAAATTGTAGGAGAATATTGGGAATAAGGGCACACGGTTGTGGAGCCCTCTTGTGTGTGGTCTGGTGGTTCCAGATCAGCTCCTAATACTGTGTTCTCAAAGCAGTTGGTCATCCCAGGCTTGTAACAGTCCTGATCACCCCCATGTTCTGTGATCAGCATAGTGAGGTGATGTTCCTGCAGTTCACAAGGAGGAGGAAGCAAGTGGGAGTTTGACAGGGAAGGATTTATCCACCTGATGAACCGAGTAGTTGGCATGTGGTTGGTGGCAAAGGTGACAATCTGTGGGTCTGTGAGGCTCTTGGTCCTGGAAGGCTGAGGGGTGGCAGCCTGTTCTCCACATCAGAAGTCTCTTTCCTAGTCCTTGCCTTTCTTCTGTGGTTGTTTTTTTTCCCCCCATGAACTGGTGCTTTTAGTGTGTTTTGGGAGTCTGCAGTCAATGTTTCTGGGCTGCTGGAAGGCAGTGCTGAACTTGTGCTGGTCTGTTCTTCCAGAAACATGCAACATGGCAGCAGCCATGGAAACTGAACAGCCGGGCCTTGAAATCTTTGAAACTGCAGGCCCTGAGGAGCAGGTCCAGAGGGAGGAGCAGTCAAAGCTGGAACCTTTCTATGTGGAGAGACACTCCTGGAGCCAGCTCCGGAAACTGCTCACGGATACACGGAAGTATCATGGGTACATGATGGCAAAAGCCCCTCACGACTTCACCTTTGTCAAGAAAAATGATCCTGAAGGACCTCATTCTGATAGGATCTACTATCTGGGTGAGCTTGGAACAGCCTGGGCTTTGGCTGCAGAGCCCCTGCAGAGGACTTTGGGGTTTCGCTGCCCTTTAGAGCTGGATGGTGCGGGCAGTTAAATCGGGTGGTTTCAGGCCAGATTGGCTGGTCAAATGTCATGATTCTGATCCTAATGTCTCATTAAAACGTGGTGAATTTCCCACAAACATGGTGTGGTTGAAGATGACCCCTGAGGCCTGTTGGAGCTGGAAAAGAGCTGCCAAGTGTCCTTGGGGGCACGTTCCCTACCTGGGAGGGTGGGGTCGGACTGTTCAGTCTGTTTTCTCTCACTCCAAGTATGATATCCCCTCTCCAAAAGATATCGCAGTTGTATCTCCTTTATTTTATTTACAGCTGGTGGGTAGAACCATGTTTTTCCAAGTTTCCTTCCAAAACAGAGAGTATAAATGGAATTTTGGAAGTCCTTTGTGCCTCAGCTACTGATGGTGTAGCTTTCCCAGGGATTCGGGAGGGAATTAGTAGCAGTGTAGAGATGGGGCAGTTTCAAGAGTAGATGTTTTTCTCAATATTTTTGGCCTTGATAGGAAAGGGATGTTCAAACCTTCCTAAAGACATGTTATCTTGGAAAGACAGGCTGCATCATGCCTGATTCCAGCCAGGGGAATTAGCAGAGAGGCTCTCCTAGATTTTAAAAGCTCATTAAATAAAAGGGTCCCCAGCCTTCAGGGAGACACAGATATGCTTCAGGCAGCATGGGGTGAGCCTGGGTGTAGTTCCTTCTCCATGACGTGGGTTTCTGTGAGCAGGGAATTCCCAGATCAAGGCTGCAGTGCAGAGACTGTCAGCACTTTATCTGTCAGGAAGGGCCTGTGAAACTGTTCCTCTGTATTCTTTGAGTATGTTTGGATTTTTAACAGAAAGCTAATAGGTTGTTCCTTTTTTCTTCTCACTGCCACAATAGCCATGTCTGGGGAGAACAGGGAGAACACGCTCTTCTACTCTGAAATTCCCAAAACCATCAACAAAGCTGCTGTCTTGTTGCTTTCCTGGAAGCCTCTTTTGGATCTCTTTCCGGTGGGTCCTGATTTCTGTTTTGCTTCTTGCCAGTTTAGCAAGTGCACAAGCTCTGGGGCTGCACCCAGGAGCCACCACTAAGATTTGGAGTTTATTGTCTTAAACGTTGTAAGATTCTCCGTGCGTGCGACTGGCTCTGCAGCCACCTCGTAAAGCAGCACAGCCTGTGTGCATCAACAACACTGTGTGTGCTGGGTGAGTCCTCCTTCTTGGTTGGCAGGGACTGCAAGTGCTCATGTGCAGCAGATGCTCTGCTGAGAGATCCTGGGGAGTTCTGGAGGAGGCTGTAGTCTCCAATCATTGCTGTCTTGGACCGGGAAGTGTGAAGTCCCCCGAGGATCAGTCAGTGGCTCCGTGACTCATGCTGGAGTTCAGGATCCCTTTCCCACTCCTGGGATGTGTGTCCCTTTCTCACCTCTGCACGTAGCAAGCTTGCAGCAGTCCCACCCCCTGCACCACGGCAGGTTGGAAGAGGTGGGGCAAACCCCACGTAGAATTAGGTGTGTTTTTTCCCATGTTATTGCCTGAGGCTGTCAGCCAGACATACAATTCATACTGTGCTCTCCTCCCAGCAGACCAGTCGCTGTGTATCTTTGCAAAAGTTGGCAAAGACTCTTCTGCTTGTCCTAGAAATAACACACCTCCAGTCAGATGGTTCTTCCAGTGCATAGTGGAAATAGTGCCAGCCTTGATGTGGGAGCAGTGGCTGTTGGGTGTCCAGTTGTGTAGGATGGGATCACAGCCTGCGCTCTGCTGATGGCAGAGGCACAACCGGAGCCCAGCAGGATTCTCGAGCAGGAGGGTGTCCACACAGCTCCTGGCAGCTTGGCTTGCAGAGGGACTCTGACAGCACAGTAAGCCAGGCAGAGCAGAGGTGTTGATCGTGCTTCCCTGCCCTTTCTCAGGCTGTCCTGGACTATGGGATGTACTCTCGTGAGGAAGAGCTGCTGCGGGAGAGGAAGCGGATCGGCACTGTCGGGATCGCCTCCTACGATTACCACCGGGAAAGCGGCACCTTTCTGTTCCAGGCTGGGAGTGGGATTTATCACGTGAAAGATGGAGGCCCTCATGGATTCACTGTGAGTTTGCTCATATCTCCTGTGTCCTGCAGTACTGCATTCCTCTGACTAGAAGCTCCTTTGGTTTGGATTGAAAGCAAAAAAGCCTGATCAGCAGTTATTGTTGCAGTAGCATGGCAAGTAACCTTGACAGCCCTCGAAATGGGGAGATCTGTAGGGATCCATTTCCATGGGTGTAGAAACTCAGGTGGAGGATTACAAGAAATGGTAGAAACCATGGCAAGGCAGGACACCAGATTTTGTTGATTTTTCAGAAGTAGCAATGCCAATAAAAAGCAGCACAAAGGGTGTGGTGCTCTGTGTTCTGTCATGTAGTCAGGAGTTACCTCAGAGGCAACTTTTGTTCCCAGGTTTAGAGGTCACTCTGTGTGCTACAAGATTTGGCTGTAAAACTTGCAGATCAAGCAGCATCTACTCTGCTGGGGCTGAAGCTGGACTTCAAAGCTGAAATAATTTCTTATGATTATAACAAGTGTATGGTGTCCATCTAATTCTGCCAGGGGGAATTTACTGTACCCTGAGTTGCTTTTGGAGGACAAGGTTATATGCTCTACCATTCCCTTCTTAGGGTGCTGTTTTTAAGAGTGTGCCAGGCTTCTTTTGCCAAGCTGCCTGCTGTGCAACCATGGTAGAAGCACAACTTTCTCTTAGAAGTATTTGCACAGTGTTTTTCTGTGTTTAAAATTGATAGATTCCTCTGTTATAAACCTGTGTATTTGAAGTCAGTGTCCACTTTGCTGTGGTGTTAGAGACCTTCTGATCATCCAGGTTAGTTTCTGTAAGTGTTACCATTGCTTACTGTAGTTCTGTTTCTTTCTTTCTTTCTTTCAAACAGCAACAGCCTTTAAGACCCACTCTGGTAGAGACCAGTTGTCCAAATATCCGGATGGATCCCAAGCTTTGTCCAGCTGATCCAAATTGGATTGCATTTATCCATAGCAATGACATCTGGATAGCTAATATAGAAACCAGAGAAGAAAGGAGGCTAACATTTGTGCACAATGGTAATTCATCCTGAATTTTAATCTCTGTACCTCCTCTCCACTTGTTCTTGCTAGACTGAATGAGGCAATGACACTGAAAGTCCCTCTGAAACCAGCAGGAA